TTAATTACCACAAAAACATATATTCATATGTTAATTTTTAAAATAGACACACTTCCTACAATAATCACATGGTATGCAATCTTTCTTGTAAACCTTGCTCTAGATTTAGCACTTGTATATACGCGAGATTTATTGTAATACGAATATACAAGAATTCCTGACGCGTTACTCGTTAGTGTGATCAAAACAATAAACCATATTTTCACACTGGATCAACATAGAATTTCGTCCGAAGTAACTTAGAACTTCGTCCAAAGTTCATTCATGCGTTTTTACAGATGATATTAAGAAGATATTTTAGTCGTGAATTTTATTTCGCCGTGGCAAATCATGTGTAACTAAATTTGTCTGACAGAGACGGTGCCATCTGTGAAATTTTGAATATCGAAATTGTAGCAACGCTATTTACAAGGCGCAGTTATTGCATACAAGGAAAGCTTTCTCATTGTAAAATGTGTTTGATTGTCTTCGCAAGAAATTTTTCTATGATATATAGAACGCTATAAATCGGAAATTCGCGATAATTTCCGAGTATAGTCGAACTGATTACGATTCACTTGTTCTGAATCAGGAAAACTTTCTGGAACGCGTTCGGAATGTCTCGCGGAACGCATTCAGGAACGCATTCAGGAACGCGTCTGGAACGCGTTCAGGAACGCGTCCGGGACGCGTTATGGAACGCATTCTAGAACGTGTTCAGAACGCATTTTTCATTAGGTTACTTCTGTGCAGTACTGCAGTTCTAATCTTTCTGACATACCCCAAGTAGATAGGGAAAAAGAGGAAAAGCAAGTATCTACTAAAACTAGCTCTAATGACTCATTAATGCCAAAAGTTAGAGGTTTCAAAATTGCAAGCTTAAATATCGCCAGCCTACCTAAACATATAGATAAATTAAGAATTATAATGAGTAACAATGACATTGTTACTTATGTTCTAGCCATTAACGAATCTAGAATGGATAGCACTATACCAGATGATGTAATATCGGTATACGGTTATTCTTGAGTTGGCAAACATAGAAATAGATCTGGTGGTAGTGTTGGCTTATCTTACGAGATACAATCAATTATCGTATTAGGTCTGACCTTAATGATACAGATATTGAAATTTTAACAATTTAAATTTTCAAAAATAAAAGTAAACCATTTTTAATAATAATAACAACATGGCATAGGCCTCCGAATGACCCTATGGACACGTTATATATATTTGAAAACTGCCTTAGATTGATTGATAATGAAGATAAAGAGAGTATAATTGTTGGGGATGTTAATTCAGATATCTTAAGCACTGATCCGACACACCTTGTTTCTGAGATGGATTTCATTACTAAACTTTGTCAGTACGAGCAGTTAGTAAAAGATCCTACAAGAGTAACTAAGGTTAGCGCATCCCTAATTGATCACTTGTATACAACAAAACCAGATTGCAGATTCCTCTAGCGGAGTAAGAATTATTACTATTAGCGATCACTACTTAATTTATGGTGTTCGCAAGTTTCAGGTAGCTAAACAGTCGCCTCGTATTATAGAGTATCGAGATTTTAAGCAATTTAATGAAATAAATTTTTTGTTACAATTACAATTATCCATTAATTTAAACGTAGACCATTTGGATCCCAATAATTCGTGGTCGATTTGGAAAGATACATTTCTCAATATTGTTAATAAATACGCACCTTTAAAAAAACGTAGAGTGTCGAGTAAACGATTACCTTGGGTAACTAGGGACCTAATCACAAAAAAGCGTCAAAAAGCATCTTTGAAAAAAAAGGCAGTATTATCAAACTTAGAGGCTGACTGGACTATTTACAAATCTGCTAAAAATAGTTATAATAGATTGGTCAAACGCACCATTCGTCAGCACTATCAAGATAAATTTCAAACATTAACGAGTTAATGAATAAGTCTAAGAAAGACACTAAAATTAAGAGTTGATGATAACGAAACGATAGATCTAAGTCAAATTCCAAATGCGTTTAATAAATATTTCACTAAACTGGGAAGCAAGATATGTAATGATATCCCACCCTCAGCCGCGACACCTGAGGATTATTTTGCAGACTTCGAATTTCCAGCAAATACATTATCCTTTTTTAAAGAAATATCTGAGACAGAAATCTTAGGATTGCTTCATGGTCTCTGTCAGTGGCGTAACGTTATATCAGGGGGCTCCCGGTTCAAAAATTTTCGAAGGCCCCCCTAGTAGATGTGCCAAATGCACGAGTCGAGCGCCGTATATGCACAAATTTTCTAGGGGTCCAGGGCATGCTCATCCGGAAAATTTTTGAATTTAGATTCTCCGAAATGCCATTTCCTGGACTTTGGGGAGAGATTTTGCAGAATTTTGATGGTCATAAAACGACATTGTAACATATCAGAGGCCCTGACCAATGTTTTGGCTCTATCGCCTAAGCCTGGGTGCCCCCGTTTAGGTTGGGGGCCCCCGGGTTCTCCCGGTCTGAGCCCATAGTAGTTACGCCACTGGTCTCTGTGCATCAAAAGCATCGGGTATGGATCAAATTTCGGCTAGAATTCTGAAAATCGCAGCCCCAGTAATTGCACCCTCACTTACATTAATTTTCAACCAATCAATTCGTACAGATATATTTCCAACTGATTGGAAGGTTGCCAGGGTAACACAATTTATAAATCAGGAGAAAAACATAGCATGATTAATTATAGACCTATATCGGTTATTTCGATTGTGGCAAGAATTATGGAGAAGCTAATACACAACCAGATCTATGAGTATTTAATTAAAGAAGTCAAATTTACTATCAATTTCTCAGCACGGATTTAGACCTTTTCATTCCACGGTCACAGCACCACTAGATATCACGAATAGATGGTATCAAAATATGGGTATTGGCCAACTTACTGGTGTTATATTTTTAGACTTAAAAAAAGCTTTCGATACGGTTAACCACGAAATCCTTTTAAAAAAGTTGAATATTTATGGCATAAGAGGAACGGCATTACAGTGACTTAGATCTTACTTAACAAGTCGAACACAATATTGCCGAATAAATGGCGAAATATCTGATCCATTAACCGTGATAAATGGTATACCCCAGGGTTTCGGCTCTGGGCCCACTCTTGTTCTTGATTTACATTAATGATTTACAAAAATTCTTAGAGATACAATTACAAATATTTTTGCAGATGACACACAAATTGAAGTATCATTCGATAATGTTAATGTAATCACAGATAAACTTAATCATGATTTAGAAAATGTGTCGGCTTGGTTATCGGCTAACAAACTAACTTTAAACAAGACGAAAACAGAATATATGATAATAGGTAGTAATAAAAGACTTAAATATATATAAAAGACTTAAACAAAACACTGAGGTATTGATGACCTATTTAATTAATTAAATAAAGTACTTGATGCATGTAATTATGACAATTATGAACATAAGTAGGTCATAAGCAATGGGCATAAGCGAAATACTTGGCAAGGATACGTATATATCCAAAATCGAAATAAATATGCATTTAATTTCGACTCATTTCAGACAGTCCTGGACAAAACAGCTGCGGCAATTATTTGACAAAGTTGATTGCATTCGCAACATACGGTTAAACACTGCAGGGGCGGATCCAGGACGTTTCGTAGTTTTGCGAGCGGCGAATGTGCAAGGCACCTATGGGGGTCTGTCCCCAGGAATTTTTATATTTTTAAACCTCAGAAACGCCATTTGCAGCACTCTGAATTAAGCAGCTTCAACAAAAATTAACCTCATGAAATGAGAGATAATTATAGCAATTATCAGTCTGACTGACTCTCACAACTAGCTCCTTAGGGAAAAGTGAAGGAAAGTACTTGCAGAAATGTGATAATTGTGGAAGATGTTTCATTTTATCAAATTACGGATTGCTAGTATTATGTTTAACTATCTCATGATGGTACTACACTCATTTTTGTTGCCTAATAGCCTTGTTGAGTCATTGACCACTTGACTAGTAATCACTACAGTGTCATAGTACTCAAATGAACATATATCAATATTAAAGTCTTAACATTCATCTATAAAACCTGACCTTTATATGTATACTGCATTAATGCATTTATATAGGTTATCCTCCATATTAATAGCCTTCTGAGTTCTGACGGTCCTTCAACCGCAGAATTAGAAATATGCAAATTTGTTGTGTAAATCAAAATTGATAGCTAAATCTAAATCAAGAATCGCTTATTTTCATATGCATGGCGCTGTCTAAAACGAAATAAAATTTACATATCACATTAAATTTACTTTATTGCACTTCAGAATAAAGATCTCGGCGCCAATACTTCTACTCAAACAGCCAAACTGTAGTTCATGCTACTCACGGGCCGGTCACGGCGCCTAGCAACTGCTCACTGAATCCGGCGAACTCTCCGATATTTAGCGTCGATTTTCCTCCCAAGATCAGCGCAACTTTAAATTGAATCTTTCGACAAAGCTCCAACATGACACTTCGAATATAAGCGTGCGCTCGGAAAGACTTTACCACGCGTCAAATATTAATGATATTCCGACTTTAATGGGGTGCCCCTGACTTTTGTAAATCGGTCATGGAAATAAGCGTCTAGACCAATCAGAACACTGGATTTTGGCGTTTTGACTGACCAACTTTGCATATGTCTGACTCAGTTGCTCATTGACTTGACTAAGCTCGTCGGCTCAGCCACTGTATGAAATTTGATCACTGGACTACAGTTCGATTGGAATGTTAATTGCTAGCGCTGCATGATAATAGATACTGGACTATTATAAGGTGTCGCTGCATGATAAAGTAATTTATAATTTATTAAAGACCAATATTTTTACGATTACGTTTTGTTAATAATAAGAGTTTAATTACTTGAAATTTGATTGTAATTTATTCTGGTCGACATTAGACAACTTTAGCGGACATATATCTTCCAAAAATCACCAGCTGAAATCGCGTACCCGTTGCTTGACTTGTAATCGTCGCATTCCCAACGCCCGTTGGCCACGTTTGCTACGAGCCAGTGTGCTTTGTCACAAACAAATGCCAAGTGATTGAACAAACGATCGTTAGACGTATATCCTGCATGATGCCATTTACCAACATAATACCCTGATTGATAACTCCATTGAGAACATTGGCTTGCAAGTATTGAGTTGTCGTCAGAGAGGCGATAATAAGATCCACAGGAATTGGGAAAAGTGTTTGTTTGGGCTGTGAAGTATTGAACAACGTGGTGACCAAGGCTATTGTTTTTTGTAGCGATATCAAAAGAGCGTCCAGGAATCTTCTTGCGGCAAAAAAATCTGAGTTGTTTGAACGACATTTTTGCTCCAAGGGCACGAAGAGCATGTGTTGAAAGTCCGAGCTTCTTGCTGTTGTATTTATAGATTTGCCGATAATCGTTTGCCAAGGGCCAATCCATTCCTCTTGATTCGTTGAGAACAAGGTTACTAATTAGTGTCCAGCCACCTACCAAATTAAAAAAGAAAATAAATTATTTTACTTAGGATAGATATCAAGTAACATCTTATTCACACTGCAAAAAATCAAATTCTAGTCTAGAATAATATTCTTATTTTTTAGATTATTTTTCTTATTTTAAGTAAATATTTCTTATCAAGAAATATTTCAAGAAAAAAATCTAGTTTTAAGAACAAAAATCTTAAAATAAGAAAATATAACTGGGCAAGAATATTCGAGAGAATTTTTTTCTTATTTTAAGAATAACATTTTTCCATCCTAGAATAATATTCTTATAATTAGAAAAACAATCTTGAAATAAAGTTTAATATTATTTATCGCATATATCAAAACCTTTCTTTTGGCAACTTTTGCATGGCTAAAACGAGATATGATATTGAATTGAATAAACCTAGTTGTAATATTGTATATCTTTCACTTTTTTGTCAAATTTGAAGCTGAACGGCTCTGTCCTGAATTGTCGCGGTTTCAACATGGCGGATATCACAATGAATTTGAATATGCCCAATGAATTGCTGCTATTGAAAAATAACAATTATATATATAATTCAAATCATTTGCAACAATCGTCTATCTACGCTTTAATGAAGATGGTATGATCCACCGCAAAAAATGAAGTGTAAATTTACCCAAGATTTTGCGTAAATATCACCGACATGTTATGACATCACGGTTAATGCTGTCAAATGTTATGACATGCGATACGTTAAACGATAAAAATTTTATATTATTGCAATTGGCATATAATTTTTTTAGAAAATATGTCTCATTATTCGCTTCATCATTTTTTTATAATCATTCTTTTGGCCAGATTATAAATGCTTCCTATAGTTTCAAGCTAGCGATAGATTGGTAGCGCTTTTTGGTGTATGTATTTTAGAAGACAAGGGCCACGCGCGCAATGAGTTGTGGGATATCGTGTATCAAGTATCAAGTGTGATTTACAAATTTTCGACTTTTTCGTTTGAGAATATTTCGCTCAAGAATATCGTGTTTTTTATCATATTTGGTTCTGGATAAGTGACTCCGAATCCTGCCGAAGGCTTATTGATCTCAGGTATGAAATATTACTGTTTATATCGTATAATTATAACGTACATCGACCGTATTTACTCATTTTATCTTGTGGCTGTTATAGCCTGTTGTGGCTGTCTGCTATTGCTAAATTTGAATTTGCGCGCGAGAGGTTTTATGTATTGAATTATTTCATTTCAATTCCGTCAAATATTAGTTAAAATCAACAATTCAAATTTTGAATAAACACATAGTAAATACTGGGTTACACTTGCCACTTGGTTGACAAAACTGGAGAAAGCATGTTTGAACCCACATAGTATATTATAAAACAATATGTGAATATGAATAATATTTACTTGCTGATTGCTTCAAGCCTATTATTAGCCAAAACATGAAAATTATTTGAGAGTATTAAACTTACAATTACAATGTTATCTATCTGAATCATAAAATTGTTAACTCAATATATAGAATTGATTATAATATTAGCTTATCAGTCCAGTGCATATTTCTTGGTTTATAGCATGTAAATGGTTGACTTTAAATTAATATTTAACCCATTGGCATTGAGCTGGAATGTGCCCCAGTGCGCCCTACTTTTTTTCACCTGTCTAATGCCAGTGTCTTCACTCATGTCTAACCCTGCATATATGTGTGTGATATATTGTGCCTGTTTATGTGATAATGGCATGGCTGGACAGGAGGTTTTAATCCAGGATGGTGTGTTTAATATATAGGCGGAATACA